ACACACACACACACAGATTAATTACTTAATTAAATGGGAGGAAGTAGGTAAGGTCCCAGGACCTTCTGCTGTTGGAATGACTCAACTTTACTGAACATGATTAGGGTTTCTTTCCACATGGAATAAGCATTCTTCTTCGTTTCCAAGAATTAGTTCCTCTTAAGCAGCAGCAGAACAGCAACAAAGGCTTGGGGAAAATTAGCTAGGCATTCTAGATGAGAATTACACAAAATTTTACAGAAGATAATCTTTACATTCACTGAGCATTTGCCACACACTGAAGTCTTACTACTTTCTGATCATTAAAAACAACAGTAGGGACTGGAGAGATGGCTCAGCAGTTAAGCGTACTGGCTGCTCTTGCAGAGGGCTCAGCAGTTCCCACTGCCTACAAGGTTGTCCTCTGTAACTCCAGTTCTAGGGAATCCAACACCCCTCAGGCCTCCATAGGCATTGCACGAATGGGCACACTTATCAGCGGGCAGAACGTTTATACATATAAAAATAAAAAAAATTTTAAAACAACAGATAAAATGAGTAACTGGGTGCCTGTCACTTAAGATTTCTAAGTTTTGAAAGTCTTGGCAATCCAAATGGCCAGCTGACATATTGCTAAGCTGCCAATACATTTCCCTCTAACTTCAAAAGAAAATTGCCCACTGCCTTCTTTAAACATCACTCCTACAGGAAGACCTTGCGACATGTCCATATTCGTTAACCTTTCTGGGTCTCTGTTTCCTTTTCTGTAGTATGAATGATTTGTAGCAGCTCTGAGTTACAGGCTGACTCTGATGTCTCGTTCACTCAACTCACTAGATATTTAATTGGCTGCCTCCATGGGCCATCAACTGGATGTGGGGTGTGAAAGATAAAAATTTACCAGGATACTAGTATCTTTCATCTAACTGGTTATGATGGGAAGTGTTCTAATCATCTACCATGGCATAAACAACCATCTTAAAGTTTAGTGGCTTAAAACCACATCCTGTGTTCTTCATCATGATGCTCTGGGTTGACTAGACTATGGCATATTGTTCTTGGGCAAGAACAGAAGACAGAAGAGATCAATGAAGTACTCACTGTTAAAAATAATTAAGAAGGCACTGGGTCTGAGGTTCCTCCAGCACCACTATGAGAGCCAGTGCCTACTTAAATTTTGCTCCAAGGGACCTCCCTTGCCTCACTCAGTTCTAACTCGTTCCTGGAGCTTCTCTGGCCTGTGCTCTCAGTAGGTTACAGCTTCTGCAGGCTCAGCTGGGTTAGGCATCCAAGACCACTTCTTCACTCACCTGTCCTGTGGCTTCTTCATCCATGTGGCGAAACAGGTAGGAGCTGACTAGGGATCTTTCCTTTCCATACACCCATCCACAAGCAAGCTCTGCCTCCCTCGGAGAGCAGAAGACTTCTCATTTACATTATGTTTATGTAGTAGCCGACTTCTCCAAATAAAGAAAGACTGGGGGGGGGGGGTAAGTGGCTAAAGTGCTTGCTATGCAAGCCTGAGGACTGGAGCTTACATCCCCCAAACTCACATAAATGCCGGGTCAGCATGGTGGCCCACCTGTAATGCCAGACTCAAAAGGCAGAGATGGGACCCTCAAAGTCAGCTGACTAGCAAGATTAGTCTTACCAGCCATCTCCGGGCCTGCCTCATTGAATAAGGTGGAAGGGCCAAGGAGGATGATTTCTGATGTTAACCTCAGGCCTCTACGTGCGTGTGCATACATGTGCATACACACATACCCACCACACATATGCAAAACCTACACACACACACACACACACACACACACACGCACGCACACACGTGTGCGTGCATCTACACCAGGAACACACTGGAAAATGAGGGTGGGGCAGAGAAAGAAAGAAAGACCAGAGAACAGATAGGTTTTGGGTAGTGACATTAAAAGTGCTCTTAGGAAGGGTCAAGTTTAAGATGGTTGAGCCACTAAATGAATATATACAAATGGAGATTAGAGAAAGATTGGGACTGAAAACAGGAAGCTAAGTGATATAATAGATGGCTCAGCGGTTAAGAGCACTGGCTGCTCTTGCCGAGGATCCAGGTTTGGTTCCCAGGTTTGGTTTGGTGTCTAACAACCGTCTGTAACTCTAGTTCCAGATGGCCTCTTCTGACCCCTATGGGCACTGCACAACACGGGTATACTTACATACATGCAGGCATAACACTTATACACGTAAAAATAATAAATATTAAAAAAGAAATCACTGAAAGAGATCACCAAAGAGAAACTTTAGAGAGAAGGAAGCTGCCACGGGGTAAAGTGGGTAACAGAAGAGCATGGAGCCCCAACAGTTAAACTGTTAACAGCCAAGAAGACATTTCGAGAAGGCCATGTTCCCCAAGGCTGCTCTCTGAGGCTGCGAACTCCCCCTGTCTTCGGGGTCAAGGATATGGACCTGCAGAGGTGTCCCCAGAGCACGCAGACCTCCTGGCCTCCCTTAGCTCCCAGTGAGACCTGCATGAAGGCCAAGGCTAACCCTGTTGATAGATCAATAGATACTGTTTTAACCTGTAGACAGAGGCCGTAGAAGCATGGTGCCCAACAAGCAGCAGCAGCACCTGCCTCTGAATCAGTTGGAAATGCAGATCCTCAGGTTCCCCCAAGTTCTACCAGTCAGAAACTCCAGGAGCCAGCCATCTGAATTTGAACAAGGTCTCTAGAGAACTCCCGTGCAGGCTGTTTTGAGAACTCTCCAAAGGAACCCAAACAAACCCAAACTTGAAGGAAGGAGCCTGGATTCAGATTGTTAAAGATGAAGATGACTTTACCAAGTGTCTAAGCTGGCCTTAAAGCATGTTGCCTGGACCCCACTAGAGAGAACAGGCTGACTTTGAACTTCTGACAATCCTCCCGCCTCTTAACAGGTGTGCTCTACCATGCCTGCCTGTCCAGTTGTTAAGGATAGATTGACATTTCTTTCCTGCCACTAAAATCAGAGCACTTTGACTGCCCCTGACTCATTTCAGTCTGGCTCTTCTAGGATTTGGTTTTGTCTGAGGGGATTGCAGAGGTCCACCTTCTCAAGGATGCCCAGCTCCTGCTGCAGCCTCTTCAGCATGGGCAGGAACCAGTCAATCCACCTGGTCCTGGTTCTGGCTCTCACTGCTGCCCTTGGAAGAGGTGGACAGCCCCCTCTGAGCGCGCCCAGGCCCCCTCTGCTTGTGCAGAGCTTTAGCCTTAAATTTTGTGACAGATGGAGTTGATAGTCTCACCACGGAAAGGGGAGGGAAAAAGCGCCAGTTTTTGACAGTCTGCAGACGCCCGCTGCCTCTGGTGGCGGAAGGCTGCGTTGCTCCACAGTTAAGGTAGCTCCTGAAGTCCTCCTCGCGTTACATAGTGAGGGATTGAAATTTACACTTTAATATAAACCTTGCTGCGGGTCAATTTATCTTCGTCTTCTGTGTTGTGACTGCGACCAGATGGTAGCTCTCAACATTCCTGAAGTTTATAATGCTATTATTATTTTGCATTACCGTTCGTGTTTTAAACGTGCGTTGCTACGAAAATGATTCAGTTCATTGAATTTCTGCCTTTACAGTTTGAAAATGACCCTTACCTTCCAGATGGAGACCCTAAGGCTAGGGGAAACGTGTGCGAACCTCATCTACATGCTCCTTTCTTGTGGCAGTGACGGTGGTGTGTGTGTGTGTGTGTGTGTGTGTGTGTGTGTGTGTGCATGTGCGTGCGCGTGTGCGTGGGTGAGCATACACGCGCGGGCGCGAGCCAGCCGTGTTTTTAAGTTTCAAAAGTCTCATATTCTGTTCTTCGGATCCCTCCTCCCTGACCCCGCGATCACTCCTCAAAGGCCAGAAAAGTAAACCGACTTCTGAACCCTCTCGAAGGCACAGATGGGTGGGGTGTTAAGGGAGAATTAGTCAAAGTGCCCCCCACCAAAACCGAAAGGGGGAGGGGGGACGGAACAAAAAGGCCGGTGGCCCAGCCGGATGCAGGCAGCTGGCCCGGATTCCCTGGGCTGGTCCTGCGCCGTCTCCGGTCCGAGCCTCCTTAAGAGTAGGAGGGGCCCAGGGCCCAGTCAGCTCCCGGGGCCGTTCCTTTCAAGCCCTGAATGCCTGAATGTGAGCGGCCCCCCGCCCTCCTGCCCTCCCCCACTCCGCTACCCCACTCCAGCGGCTCGTAAAAAAAAAAAGTTTCAACAACAACAGGCAGGGCCAATAGTATCTCGAAGAGCGGGGAAAGGGGGCCGAGCAGAGGGCGAAAGAGAGTGGAGAAAGGAGAAAGCGGCCAGCTGGGAGCGCGCGGGGCCGGGGCTCGGGAGCCGGAGGAGCGTTGCTAATGTTTTTGTTTGTTTGCTTTTCCATGCATGCATAATGAGGGGGCACCGCAGCACCACGCGGGGGCTCCCGGCCCACTTTTGTATTTAAAGCCTCGCTGCAAGCAGGTCGGCCCCCGGCCTCTGCGGATCGGCTCCCCAGGCTCCGGGTCAGCGGAGAAGCCGCCGAGGCAGCCCCGGAGCCGCGCTCTTCCGCCGCGCCGAGCCGCTGCAAGTCCCGGTGCTTCTCGGAGGGAGCTCGGCGGAGCTCGGCCCGGGCGGCCGCGGGCGGAGGGGGAGGGGACCCGGGAGGCCTGGCCGCGGGAAGGCGGGCAGCGCTGGACGCAGGGCCAGGAAGCGGCGCGATGCGAGAGCCGCGAGGTGCTGCGCGGCGCTGACCCCGGAGGAAGGAGCAGCCGCGCGAGTAGCGGGCTCGGACGCCGCCCGCCAGCCCAGACCTGTCGCAGCCAGGACCTGCAGCTCACAGCACCATGCGCCCCCGGCGCCGCTCGCTCCTGCAGCTTCGCCGCGACCCCGCGGCCCGCAGCCCCTCGGGGCACCAGTGAGCGCCTCCCGCCGCCGCCGGGAAGCCAGACGAGTGCTCTCGGTGCCAGAACCGGAGCAGATCTGGGCGGCCGAGCGTTTTCCGGAGGCCACCGCCGCCGGCGCGGGAGCCCACGTTCTGCCGCCCCCAGGGCACCGGGCAGCGGCGCGCATGGATTTATGAAGACACTCATGCACGAAGTGGGCAGGACTTGGGCAAACTTTTGCACCCGCTCCGCGTCCGCCGCTCCGCGCGCCTCGTCTCCACTCCCGGCCTCGCCCAGCGGCCGCCGCTGCCCGCAATGATAGCCGCGCTGCTGGGCGGCGGCGGGGCCCGCGGGGTGACCGTGCCGGGCGCCTGGCTATGCCTGATGGCGCTGCTGCAGCTGCTGGGCTCGGCGCCGCGGGGCTCTGGGCTGGCGCACGGCCGCCGCCTCATCTGCTGGCAGGCGCTGCTGCAGTGCCAGGGGGAGCCGGAGTGCAGCTACGCCTACAGCCAGTACGCCGAGGCGTGCGCGCCGGTGTTGGCGCAGCGCGGTGCGGCCGAGGCGCCCGGGGCGGCCGCCGCCTTCCCCGCCTCGGCAGCCTCGCTGTCGTCCCGCTGGCGGTGCCCGAGCCACTGCATCTCGGCGCTCATTCAGCTCAACCACACGCGCCGCGGGCCCGCGCTGGAGGACTGTGACTGCGCGCAGGACGAGAACTGCAAGTCCACCAAACGCGCCATTGAGCCGTGCCTGCCCCGGACTAGCGGCGGCGCGGGCGGCCCGGGCGCGGGCGGGGTCATGGGCTGCACCGAGGCCCGGCGGCGCTGCGACCGCGACAGCCGCTGCAACCTGGCGCTCAGCCGCTACCTGACTTACTGCGGCAAGCTCTTCAACGGGCTGCGCTGCACCGACGAGTGCCGCACGGTCATCGAGGACATGCTGGCCGTGCCCAAGGCGGCACTGCTCAACGACTGCGTGTGCGACGGCCTGGAGCGGCCCATCTGCGAGTCGGTCAAGGAGAACATGGCCCGCCTGTGCTTCACCCCCGACACGGGCGCGGGGCCGGGCAGCAGCGGCTCGGACGGAGGCCTGGACGACTACTACGACGAGGACTACGACGACGAGCAGCGGGTGGGCGGTGCGGGCGAGCAGCCCCTGGACGACGACGACGGTCTCCCGCACCCTGCGCGCCCGGGCGGCGGCGCTGCTGCAGCGGGCGGCCTCGGGGACCTGCCCTACGGCTCAGGGCGCCGGAACGGCGGCGGCCGCTCGGCGAGCCCCGGCGCCTGGACCCCGCTCGCCTCCATCTTGCTGCTCTTGCTGGGGTCAAGCGTTTAGTCCTGGAGACCCCGCTACTGCCAGGCCGGCGTGCGCGCTCCGCTGGACCCCGCGCCGGGCACCTGCGGCTCCAGGGACGCGGGGTGGTCGGGAAGCCCGGCCAAAACTTTCCCCAGGTCCGCTGGGCCTCTCCCGTCTCCCAGCCACCACGCCTGGCTCTTTTAGAGTCGCCTGCCCCCTGCATGGCTCCTTGGACCGCATCCGCCGGTTCCAGGTTCCGGAAACAACTGGGATGAACCCTACAGGTGGGAAATCTGCAGAATTCAGGACACCTAGTGAAACAGACCGGAAGCCTGGACTTGGTTAGAGAGTGCTGACCCGTGGGACCTAACAATTCCGAGGGACCGGGGGAGGGGGATGTTGCAGGAGGAATTATACTTGCAAAGGGCCTGTTTATTAACAGTTTTCCTGTGAGGGGACAAATGGTGGTGGCAACGACTTTCTTTGCTGTGGTCAGAGAGGAGCACAGCAATGGTAAGTGAATGAAACAGCACCACTCACACATTCACTGATTGCTCTCCGTGCCAACACCTGTAACACTGGGTGTGAAGCGGGTGATTGCCTTGGGGAACCCCTAAATTACATTTGTATAACTTTAGCGCCTATGCTATCACTCTGATCTCTCAGCACGTGTCTTAGAATTAAGGGTCCAAAAATGCTGTTTTAAAAGAGTTACCATAGTGTTGAACAATGCAAGTTTTTATTTTGAAAAAGCTCTATACTGCCATCTATGAAAGGAAGCCTCTTTATAATGTTTGTTTTGTTGTCATTTTTTTTTACAGCAAGAAAGTGTAAGTTTGACTAGGCAGAGAATGAATATTGCCTCTGCGCCCCTATCAGGGTCTTCAACCCTGGTATGTCGTATATAAAGTGTATTAAAACTGGGGTTTCTTACCAGTTGCTGTACTTTGTATATAGAATTTTTATAAATTGTATGCTTCAGAAATAATTTATTTTTTAAAAGAAATTAAAAGTTTTAAATCCACATCAATGTTATATCTCCCCCTCCAAGAAATGTATAGAATCCATTGGTTACCAGGAACCCAAATCCGAAGCCCCTTTTGAAGTGTGCCCTGTTTAGAACAGTCTTAAAATGTACAGTGTATTTTATAGATTTGGAGTAATGTTCTTATTTTCAAAAGAATTTATGGACATTGTAGAAATGTATAAATGCATTTCCAAACTGCCTTAAACATTGTATTTTTATAGACGTGATTTTTTTTAATCCTGTTTTAAATAACTGTGGCTTTGTGTATTTTTTGGTTGTTTTATTAAAAATTTGTACATCAGTATAAAGAGTTGAAACAATGAATATGGTGTAGTTGCTTTCCAGAATTACACTGTGGTTAACCCAGTAATGGGTGAGGAGGGGTGTGGAGGGGATATTGAGAATCCATCAACCATCAACTGAAATTAAAATACAGTGTAAGACAGGGGATGTGGGTTAATTCTGCTTTAATTTAATGAACAATTAGAGATCTGTAAATGAGGCAGCTAAAAAGATTTGTGACTGGCCTCCACTGGTGTTTGCATTTGCAAAAAGAATTCACAAAATACTGTCTCTTGTTCTTCGATTGAGGATAACCACCCCTTTTTCTTCTGTGCCCCACCCTGTACACCCTCTCTCCTTCACTTCTGACCCCCAGGAGTGTCCTCTGCCTTCTAGGCAATCTCATATAATCAAACATGCCAATAACATCTATTACCAATGGGCCTACCAAGCTTAGGCAATACTTCAAAGCCATCTTCACACTTTTGGTAAAAACAAAACAAAACAAAAAAAACCCAAATTTTGTTACAAAACACTCAGGCGTGCCAAAGTAAACACACCAGGGAAAGGAATAATTACCAGAACTGGTAATATTGTCTTGAGGAGTTGTTTAGCAGTGGGCTGATGGCTGGGCTTCTGCCAGAGCTACTGATGCACACTCAAACGCCCTTACATAAATAATTACACTCTTAAGCTGTGTGGAGTGCTGGTACACTTGACCTTGTAAATAGAAATGTTTGCAGTAGGAATAAACTCCGGCATTGGAAAATCTTTTAAACATTAACACAAAAGAGAGCACTCTGTCCTCTGGGGATTTGAGCCTGAACCTTGCCAAGCTAGGCACTTGCAAGGGGGAAAAAAGTTTATTTATCTTCTATTCCTGGTGTTTATTTAAAGCTTTTCTTTTTAAACGCAGTGATTGGAAGGCAAGTCGGGAGTTTAAAAGTCACCACAAATAAACTTTGTCTGAGGGGTCGACAGATTAGTAAGATCTGGTGTCTCTTTATTTGATATTAACATGTGCTGAGAAAACAACTCTTATTTCTCTGCTGCCTAAAGTAATTAACAAAGCTGTGCCCCTTTCCACCCCCACCCCCCAACTTTTGAGGTTTCTTTGGTTTGGTTCCCTCTTTCTGCAGTTATGAGGGAGGGAAGGAGTCTAGGCACCTCTTGGTATACCTGAAACCAAGATTCCTAGTGGTACTAGAAAGCCTCAGATGGCTGTAATATCAGACTTGTGCCCAGGAGAGGGGTTTGTGGTTGGACTCTCCAGTCACCTGAATGGTTGAGTAAACATATTGTTAAAACAAAACTGGGAGCAGTGTTTCTCTGGGAATTGAACAAAGAGTATTGGAAGAGGCTTGTAAATGAAATAAGCTTGCTTTACAAAAGGACCAGGAGTTAGCAGTACTCCTGCGTTTGTCCTTAAATATATTTAAATCATCTCCATCTCATGTTATTTTAACACATTCTTGACTAAAAGTTAAGTCTTTGTCACAGCAAAAGGCCCAGTTTTCCCTGGTAAGAAGTAAAAGACATTAACACTAGAAAAGGCCTGATAATTAACTGCAACAATAAACCCAGGACTTGGTTTTACAGGGTGCTGTCAAAAGCATCTGCCTAGAATAAATCAACACAGCTCGCTCTGGGCGAGAGGGGACATGCGGCTTGATGCCTTCTGCCTTACAGAAAGTGAACACTGATCTGTGGTCCACTTAAATTTAAACAACAATACGCTGGAGCAAGGAGACAGCAAGACGGGGAGGCCCTCTGACTCTGGACAGACCTAGTAGATTCCAGAGCAGGCTGCAGCGATCTAGGGCAGTGGGCTTCAACAGTGTGGGATTTTCCACTGCCATCTGCTTCTATACAGAAAAGATTTTTACAGATGTTGACATCTGCAATATCGTATGCTCTCCAGGGATCCCTTTGGAATTCTGGACATTTGGCAACCTCAGCTGTCTCCAGGAGAATGCCTGGAAGTGCCATTAATGAGAGAAAAGGTAGCTGGCTTCTCTGGGAATTCGCAGGAAGGGCCCCCACCCCACAGAGGTCTTCCCCAACAGAGGAGCTCCTTTTCGATTTCATGTCGAATCTCTAGCCCTCCAGGCTGTTCCTATTTCCCCAGTTAGTGGGTTGCAATGCTCAGTGACAGTTTATTTGTCTTTGGAGGCGCTTCAGTGACAAATGTTTAAGGAAGTGTGCGACAATGGTCAAGAACAAGGGGGCAGTTCATTGAACTGAAGTGACCATACAGTAAATAGAAAAAGGTTCAGCTTCACTGCTCACCCGAGCACACAGCAACACTTTTGTACATGATCACAATGGACATAACATAAAGTCCCTGTTGATTTTTAACAATATATAGCAATGTACACGAGTAATCCCTATGTGTAAAGCAGAAAAATGGCCCTAGGGAAGTGAATTCTTCCTCTAAAGCAGACGAACATCCTGTATTTGAGCAATTTCCCTACTCACACCAATGAGGATGGAAGCAGCTCCTGGCCATGTCACAAATTTCAGTGGCTACTAGGTTCTTGCAAGCTGGTGGGTACTACCGGTCTCCAGTGGAGTCCACAAGAAAACAGAGCAGCATGGTTGTACCCAGAAGACTATGGGACAGTGGTTGCAAGAGCAACCACAGGGCAGCAGGCTGGGGTGTCTTTTCCTTGCCCCATGCGGACGCCTTCACCCCATCCCAACAATGCTATATGGGATCCAGTAAAAGGAGACCCCAGAATGCCATAACAAATTCAGGGCTATCCTATACAATTGGCTATGAATGCTTTCCAGTATAGCTTCATGTATCTCTTTTCAAAGCTAGAAAAAGAAAAGTAGATATTGTTTATTTTTTGACCTCTCACACCAAGAAACATGGGAAACATTGTCAGTTGACCTGGGTCTCTCCCAGCTGCTCAAAGGAAGATTGTAGGAGGGCATCAGGTTACACAGGCAGTGTGGCCAGGATACTTAGGCCACAGTTGAGTTCACAGTGGGGCTCACTGCCTGGGAGTTAGGTTGGACAGTACTGTATTCTGTTTGAGAGATTGCCTCTGGGAGACAGTTGAAAAAGTTCACCCTTGACTATCCCAATGACATAAGTAATGTGCTATTAGCATAAATACCTCCTAAGGCATCCATTTAATCAATTTCGTAAATAACAGAATGATCTACTACAAAATAGTGGACTGTATACACTATATTTTGGCACAAAGATGGTCATTCTCCCACTAGTAACCAGGGGCTCTAAATAAATGATTTCAACAATGTTTTATTAAAGGACGACAAGAGCCCTCGAGCTGCATTAATCGGGGAGAAGTCGAGTGGCACTTTTGTTATGGAAATGCTAAGCACATAATAGCGGGGCCTGACAATGTGCAGCCACTTTATTCTTTCAGCCATGCTGACACCTCTTAAAGAGGAACTGCAGGGAAGGATGTGGGAAAGATTTGCTTTCCTAGGACGCTTTCAGCTCATATTTTGGAAGGCTACCTCTAAACTCTGCCTAAGATGCATGCCGCAAAGGCAGAAGGGTTTCTGAGGTCCAGAGGGGGTTTCCACCCCTTCTTTCAGGGGCCTGGGGTCTCCCAACAGAACCAGATGTCTACGTTATTTTTGAAATGGCATTTCCAAAATAGTATTTTACTGATTTGTTTAGGTTTGGGTTTTAGTTACCGAGTTTAGTTATTCAATTTCTTAAAGTGGGTCAAAGACTCTGGTACTCTCCATGGTATTGGTTATATGCCATGTGTAGCTCTGACAGTCTCCTTAAACAAACAGAAAGGATTTAAAGTCTGCCAACAGGTGAATATACACAGTAGCATCAAGGACATCATCTGTGAAAAAAAAGTAAGTAATAGTATCTGCTTCCAGATTGACCACTATGGACAGCCTTGTGTTCTTTAGTTATCAATATGTGTCCTTCAAGGTTGCTTAACATTTGTGAGTTCTACAGGATATTGACTATAGTTACTGACTACTAGAATGGGGCAGCATTCCACAGCTCATTCTTATTCTATATTTTATTCCTGACCAAATACTACTAAAGAGCCCAAAAAGGACTATGTCAGGGAGATATAAACCTTTCTCAGAAAGAATTCTTTTACCACGATGCTGCCCTTTGACCCTCACTTTTAACCTATGTCACTTCTTGCCCATCAGATAGTTCATTTTTCTGCAACAAACTTTGAAGATAGCCTTTCTGTTGACTAAAACTTTTGTCTATAATACTGAACACATGATGGAGGCATAAAAAATTTCATAAGCATCCCTGAGGGAAACAATTATAGTAGGAATACAGTATAGTCCTGATCCTGATGAAGGTGTTAGTCAATGTAGGGACAGGTAATTTTAACACACAACAGGAAAAGATGGTTTAGTCCCCTGCTGAGTTTAAGGAAAGCTTCTTGGAGAATGTGGCACAGAACCAACGTGGCATAGTGTGCTACATGTGCACAAATGTAACGGGAGAAGCAGTAAAAATGAAGTTTAAAAGGAGGGCTGATACCAGGTCATGGAAGCCTTGGAGGTCATGCTTGATATAAACTTCACCTTGCACCATGTACAAGACAGGGAACCTCTGGACATTTCCAGCTGAGCCTAGCTGGGAAAAGAGGCTCAGCTTCTTGGACAGAGTACATGAAGGTTTTAAGGAATGAAGACCAGAGTAGGTCCCAGGGATAAAGATCAGGGGATAGTAAAGGCAAATTCAAGACATTATGATTGATCAAAAATTGGTTTCAAGGAAAGAGAGACACTAATTTGACTACCCTGGGCCTCTGGGTCAAATAACAGGTGGATAGAATCACCTTCAGTGCCAGGGGAAGAAATTTTGAGGGTGAGTGGTATTTGAGAACTATCAGGATATTCCATGGGTGGTATGTGGCAAGAATCTAGCTCCAGGTCTGAAACTTAAGATTGGAGTCAGACTTGAATAGTAGTCATGACTGAAACTCTGGAAGTTTGGGGCAGGGAGAGAAGAGCAAAGAGAGAGAGAGAGAGAGAGAGAGAGAGGAGAAGAGAGGAGAGAGGAGAAGAGGAAG